TTCGGATTTTAGGGTGCAGCTATGCTCATGAGGTACCAGAGTCAGCCTCTCACCCCTAAACTTCTCCAGTCCCAGAGGTAGCCTGGGACCTGGCCTTAGACTGTTGAGCAGGTGTGCCTGCCTGCTGACTCCTCACCACCTTTGCACCTGTTGTCTTGAGACTCGGCACAGCCCCAGGCACTCCACCTGCTCCTGAGCCCCACCATCTCCCTGTGAACTTTGTGTGCTGTGTCTTGGGTCCAGGATATGAATTGTGAGCAGGGTTCATCTATTTTAAACACAGATGTTTACAAAATAAAGAATATTTCAAGTCAAAAAAATAAATTAATTAATTAATTAAATAATAAAATATATGGGACACAGGAAAAGCAGTTCTAAGAAGCAAGTTTATAGTGACACAAGCCTGTCTCAAGAAACAAACAAACAAAATCTCAAATAAACAACCTAATCCAAGGCAATCAGCAGATTCAATGCAATTGCTATCAAAACACTAATGAAATTTTTCACAGAATTAGAACAAATAATTCTAAAATTTGTATGGAAATACAAAAGACCCCAAGTAGCCAAAACAATCTTGAGGAAGCAGAACAAAACTAGAGGTATCAGTTTGCCCAGATTTCAAACTATACTATAAAGCTATAGTAATCAAAACAGTATGGTACTGGCACAAAACAGACACACAGATCAATGGAACTGAATAGCGATTCAAAAATGAACCCACATTTATGTGAGCAATTAACCTATGACAAAGGAGGCAAGAACATACAATGGGGAAAAGACAGACTCTTCAATAAGTGGTGTTGGGAAAACTGGACGGCTATACACAAAAGAATCAAACTCAACTACTCTCTCACACCATGCAGAAAAATAAAGTCAAAATGGATTAGTCTTAAATTTAATTTAAGACCTGAAACCACAAAAATTCTAGAAGAAAATATAGGCAGTATACTGTTTGACATCAGTCTTAGTAATTTTTTTTTGATATATCTCCTCAGGCAAGGGAAACAGAAGCAAAAAACAAACAAATGGGACTACATCAAACTAAAAAGCTTTTGCACAGCAAAGGAAACTATCAACAAAATTAAAAGGCCAGCTATTGAATGGGAGAAGACATATCTGATAAGGGGTTAATATCCAAGATATACAAAGAACTAATACAACTCAACATCAAAAAAACAAACAACCCAATTAAAAAGAGGGGCAGAGGATCTGAATAGACATTTTCCCAAAGAAGACATACAGATGGCCAACAAGTACATGAAAAAGGGAACCCTCGTGAACTGCTGGTGGGAATATAAATTGGTGCAGCCACTATGGAAAACAGTACGACGATTCCTCAGAAAAATTTTAAAATAGAACACCCAGATGATCCAGCAGTTTCACCCCTGAGCATTTATCCCAAGAAAATGAAAACACTAATTCAAAAAGATATATGTACTACCCCTATATTCACTGTAGCATTATGTACAATAGCCAAGATATGGAAGCAACCTAAGTGCCCATCAACAGACAAATGGATAAAGAAGATGTGCATATACATATATTTCAGCCATAAAAAAGAATGAAATCTTGCCATTTGCAACGACATATATGGACCTAGATGATATTACGCTAAGTGAAATAATTTAGACAGAGAAAGACAAATACCATATAATATCATTTATATGTGGAATCTAAAAAGCAAAACAAATGAACAAACAAAACAGAAACAGAGTCACAGATACAGAGAACAAACAGATGGCTGCCAGAGGGGAGGGAATGGGAGAGAGGAAAGAAACAGGTGAGAGAGATTAAGAGGTACAAACTTTCAGTTAGAAAATAAATGAGTCAAAGGAATGAAATGTATGGTGTGGGGAATACAGTCAATAACTATGTAATCTCTTTGTATGGCGACAGATCCAAATTAGATTTATCTTGGGGATCATTTTGAAATGTATAGAAACGTCAAATCTCTATGTTGTGAATAGGAACTAACATAGTGTAGTAGTAAGTCAATAATACTGCAAACACAAACAAGCATGCAAACTCATAGAAAAAGAGACCAGATTTGTGGTTACCAGAGGTGGGGATAAGGTAGGGGGAGGGAAAATTGGACGAAAGCAGTCAAAATGTACAAACTTCCAGTTATAAGATAAGTAAGCACTAGGGTGTAATGTACAATACGATAAATATAATGAACACTGCTGTGTGTTATACACGCAAGTTGTTGAGATTAAATCCTAAGGGTCCTCTTTACTAAATTTTTTTCTATTTCTTTAATTTTGTAACTATATATGATGATGGATGTTTACTAAACTTATCGCGACAATCATTTCATGGTGTATGTAAATCAAATCATTATGCTGTATACCTCAAACTTATACAATGCTGTATATCAATTATATCTCAGCAAAACTGGTAGGAAAAAAAGAGATGTATGACTCTCCCTAATACGACAAATGAGGAAACTGAGCTCAGACCAGTCAAGTTACTTATCCAAAGTCACCTGCCCAGGAAGTGCACAGCTAAGATTCGAACCCAGAGGTGGGATTTGAAACCTGTACTCCCTCTACTCCCACACACAGGAATACTAACACAGGATGGGGCCGCATCTGTGGGAAAGACCAACAGCCTCTGAAGGACGCCCTTCCCTCCTGGGTCCTCAAAGCAGCTGCTGAGGGCAGAGGAGCTTCATCCCACCTCTCCCTGCTCCCCACATCCAGTCCCTCCCCCTCTGCAGAACCCAACTCCATGGACACCCATCTCTCTCACTGACCCCACAAGCTCATCTTTCCCATATTTGTTTACATAGGCTTCTTCTTAAACCACTAGCCTGTCTACAAAACTGTAGTCTCAGCCAGAGATAAAGGGACCTGACCATCCAATTTCCAGCCTCCAAACCAAACAGGACAAATCTGGGAGGCTCAGGGAAAAGGGAACTGGCACCAAAATGACCAGATGACAGAGCTCTCTCACCCTCTCTCTGCCTAAGTAGTAAAGCAGGAAGAAGACTGTCCCATGCTGACTGCAGGATGCAGACATCCTGTGACACTAGGAACTGGTGGCAGGATTCTGCAGTGTCCTCCCCAGCCCTTTCACTGTATTTTCAAGTTCACCTGAATCATCTGGCTGCCCACATCCCCGCCCAGGCAACATTCCAATCCCTCCCTTCTCCTGCCACACAGCAAGCCCAGAAAAGGGGATGCTGCTGTGCCCTGGTTCAGGAGTGGCCAGTCCTCGCTACCCAGAGCAAACAACTGACATATGGCAAAAACAAGGCAGCAGCCCAGCTCCACCAGCAGTAATTAAGCCCAGCTGGGCTCCTCGTCGTGTCCAACCAGGCAGCCACACCCCCAGGGCTGGCCTTTGACAAAGGCAGACAGAGAGAGCCCTGGTCTGACCAGAGCCTCACAGAAGCAGATCTCTGTGGCAGAGAACAGGTCTGCCACTGTCTGTTGCCTCCAGACACTGGGAACTTTGGAGGCTTTGACAAAGCAGCCCAGAATGCTGATCTGCCCCAGAGCAGGACAACCCTGGCCTGGCAGCTGCCCTACTGGCCAGCATTAATTGAGTGCCCAGTGCATGCGGAGCACAGGAAAGACACAAGTTGGGCCTCTGTTTCCAGAGCATTTTCCCCAAGGCTGGCTACTGAATTTAGGCATCCGGGTTGATTTTTTTTTTTTTTTTTAAACACCTTTATTGGAGTATAATTGCTTTACAATGGTGTGTTAGTTTCTGCTTTATAACAAAGTGAATCAGTTATACATATACATATGTTCCCATATCTCTTCCCTCTTGCATCTCCCTCCCTCCCACCCTCCCTATCCCACCCCTCTAGGTGGTCACAAACCACAGAGCTGATCTCCCTGTGCTATGCGGCTGCTTCCCACTAGCTGTCTATTTTACGTTTGGTAGTGTATATATGTCCATGCCACTCTCTCACTTTGTCACAGTTTACCCTTCCCCCTCCCCATATCCTTAAGTCCATTCTCTAGTAGGTCTGTGTCTTTATTCCCATCTTACCCCTAGGTTCTTCATGACCTTTTTTTTTTTTCCCTTAGATTCCATATATATGTGTTAGCATACGGTATTTGTTTTCCTCTTTCTGACTTACTTCACTCTGTATGACTGACTCTAGGTCCATCCACCTCACTACAAATATCTAAATTTCGTTTCTTTTTATGGCTGAGTAATATTCCATCGTATATATGTGCCACATCTTCTTTATCCATTCATCCGATGATGGACACTTAGGTTGCTTCCATGTCCTGGCTATTGTAAATAGAGCTGCAATGAACATTTTGGTACATGACTGTTTTTGAATTATGGTTTTCTCAGGGTATATGCCCAGTAGTGGGATTGCTGGGTCGTATGGTAGTTCTATTTTTAGTTTTTTTAATAAACGCAGATTCCCCTACTGAATTGGTATCCATGAGGGTGGGGCCCAGGAATCTGTATTTTTAGTAAGCGTCCTGTATTAGCCTGACATCCACTAAAATCTTCGTGGCTCTTAGGAATGCACTGGGCAATCAGGACTAAAGCATGTCGTAATACTTACCAATGAAGTGGAAGCAACTGCAAGATAACACACTGTAAATTGTTGGAAGCACAGAGCACCTTGGTTAACCCCATGCGGTCCACGAGGGAGCTATGGGAACGGGGCAGAGGAACCACCTCTTCGTCCCCACTCCGTGGAGTTTCCACAAACTGTCCAACTGTTGATGCTTTTCCACATTTATTTTCTCCTTCCTCTGCTTCTTCCACAAGCTACTTGGGGGATGGAACTCTGACAGGCCTCATGTCCCCTATCTCTAATCTTCCTATGATCCCCACAGGGCAGGCATTGCTTCCCTCATTTTATAAATGGGGAAACTGAGGCTCAGAGAAGATATATTTGAACTCCCCGCTTGACCACTCAGACCCCCAGCTGCCACACCCACATCTTTGGAGCTCTGTTGCTAATGAATATGTCATTTCAAGACAGGGGTCCCCTATTCAGTCCAAGAGGAAGAGCCACTTACTTGTAGGTTTTGGTCCTATCCAGCCAGATGCCTGAGATCATAGCCCCAAGCATTCCTGCAATGACGATGGTCAGGCCGATTCTTCCAGCATTCACTTCTTCGCCCTGGGGAAACCACAGCCCCAGTGATTGCTCAGTGATGGGACAAGATATCTGACCGGGCGCAGTCAGCAGAAGGCAAAGGGGCAAAGGCGAGTAACTCCGGCTTCATTAGAGCCAATTCTCAGAAAGTATCAGGACAAGATGGCCTGTAAGAAGCTGCCACTGGAGAGAGAATCCTAGAATAACTGCTCCTCCCAACATAATATAACCCTGGATGTGTGTGCATGATACTGGATGCTGGGGTGAACCAAATTCTGTCCTTAGAAACCACTTTTAGATGGATTTTTAAAATGTAATCCTTATAGCAAAGCTTTACCATTATTCCTGTTTCACAGATGGAAAAACTGAATTATGTATATCCAAACATTCCATACTCAGGTTTTTTCAGTTATCACTGTTGGAAGAGATAGGAAGATAATAATTATATATTTTTGAGCGTTTATTCAAAGCCAGACACCATGCTGATGATTTTATATCATCTCATTTAATTCTCCTAATTCCCCACCAGAAGGTTAATCAATATCCTCCATTTTACAGATGAAGACACTGAGGCACAGTGAAAATAACCTACTAGCCCAAGGTCATGAGGCCTTTATTAAGAGCAGAGGCAGGATTTGAACTCAGACCTGTCAACCTCCAACACTGGAACGCTCAGCCACGGTGGCTCACCCCTCCCACAAGCGTGAGACCCTCAACCTTTCAAAAGAGGGCTGGACCCGGGATCCTGACTCCAGGATACTCAGTGTTCCATTCCCTGTATCCAGCCCTCGCTGGTTCTGGAAACATTTAAAACATGCTTTCTGCTGAGTAAATAAGACGTTAAAATTAAACCTTGCCCACATTTCACAACTTAATTTATTGCATATGTGATTCTATTGTATATATGTTTACCTACTGTGTTGCCAGGCACCATGCTATGCGCTTTACATATATAAACCTTATTATTTACTTTCTAATCCTAAAATCAATCTTTCAGTAAGTAATTAGGCTTCCTTTACAGAAAAGAGAATGAGAGCTCAAAGACACTAACCAGCGTATTACACAGCTGAGGACCACCGGAGCTGGGGCTGAGACCCAGGGCCGCCTCCCTCGAAATCTCAGGAGCACACACCATACCACACTGCCACCCCAGCTCCTGCCCAGACAGACTAGAAACCTCCTTCTCTCAGGGCCCAGCAAGCTTAGGGAACACCCTTACCGGGTAGTGCAAGATCACCATGCGATTCAGCAGAGTGGACAAGGCATAAAAAGCACCAGCATTCAGACCTGAAGGAGGGAGGGAGAAACACAGCATTAGGGTCATTCTCCTGTTGGGGCCATTGCTGGCTTCTCCCCACAGTGGTGAGGGAGGTCAGAAATCCTCATCCTTGTTGCCACTGGAGGTAGTGTTTCAAAGAAGAAATACTCCAAAACAACCAAAACTAACCATTTGAACCTCTTCTTAGCCACACACCACTGCCTTCTCATCCCTTTATCCCTGTCCTGGAAACACAGGCTCCAGAAAGTATTACTCCCAGGTCAGAGCCATCTACATTCCGCTTAAGCGCTGGCCTGACCTAAGGGGCCAGCAGAAGTACTGGACCCCTTCCACCTCCTCCTGATGACCTGTGCCCCCTCACCAGAATGCTCCAGACCTCTGACCCCTGACAACACTCCCTCTGCAGGTAGATTCTCACCTCTTTCCACATCCCTTCAACTTTTTTCTCAGATTCAACATCACACAAAATCTTATATTCAAAACCATAAAGGACCCTAAAGAGCATTTAGTTGACTCTCCTAATTTATCGATTCATCCAAGAAACAAATGGAGCACCTAGCATATACTGTAAGAATCTGTGTCCTTAGAAGATGAGGTTATTTGTCAAAAGCCATAGTAACTAAGATGAGACTGACTTACTAACTAAGATGAGACTGAAACTGATCGAGAGGAGAAGGGCCTTCATCATTATGAAGGGCCTCCCTTCATAATGATGGTGATGATGATGGTGGTGATGGTGCTGGTGGTAATGGTGCTGGTGGTGATGATGGGGATGGTGGTAGTGATGGTGGTAGTGGTGATGATGGTGATGGTGGTAGTGGTGATGGTTGTGATGATGGGGATGGTGGTAGTGGTGATGGTGGTGATGATGGTAGTGATGGTGGCAGTGGTGATGGTGGTGGTGATGGCAGTAGCATACACTTAAGTAATAGGCACCTTACAATCTAAACACCTTACTATCCTCATAACAATCCTAGAAAGTACCTAATATTCTCATTCCCATTTTGTAGGTAAGAAAAATGCACACAGATTTTAAAAACAAATACAGAGGTCACTCTGGAAGGCCCACCAGGAGTCTTTAATTTTAACTAATTTTGAGGCTCACACAACTACCACTGGCACACCTGGCATTAGGTCCACTTAGCAGCATGTAAGAGAGGACACAGTTCATAGACAGGGCAGCCGCAGGAGCTCCTCTTCACTGGAGCCAGTCCACAGAACCCCAGTCCATAGAGCCATTCAGAAGCTATTCTCTTTTGCCCCCGAGGTGACAGCTCAGTGCAGAGAAAGGTGGGTATGGCACCCACCCTGGCTTAACCCCTCCCAGGAGCCACTATTGCTTGTGACTCATCCACAGGCCTAGCTACCAGGATCTCCATAAAGGACAGGCCAGTGGAAAGAGTCACTGTGCTCAGAGAAGCACAAAGAATGGCTTCCCGACAGGGGTAAGAAGATCGCCCAGTCCACTTGCAATCATTTATATCACAATAGGTCATTCTTATCGAAGCAGTGTTGCCTAAATGCAGTTGACTTACTCCCTTTGTCAGGTACCCAGGGGAATGAGACACAAAGTTAAGTGAAGGTCAAATTCTCCTGCAAAATGGGGAAGGGAGTTTGGTTTGCCCTTCCCACCATCACACGGGTAGTAAGAGGCAGGGCTCGATTCAAACCCAGACTATGGACTCCAGGTCCTCCATCTTAAACCGTTGATTTCATATCCTTACAGATCTGATCCTCAGTGATTTCCCCAGCTCAGGTTACTGGCAATTTCGTGCCCCAGCCTCTCCCAGCAGGTCACCTCAGGGATGCAACAAGGTTGAGCTCAGTGCCACCTGCTGAGGGGCACAGGGCCAACAGTCAGTCGGCAAACCCAGAAGTGTGACCAAATGTGACTGCAACTGCCACACTCATGGTCAGGAGGACTCTGAGACTATCGGCAACTTCTCACCCAACAAGCATACTGGCCGCACCTTCATACCACACACCCAGCCACTTGGAAATTCCATTCCTGGGTCAAGAGAGCCCACAAGGAGACACATTCCTGAAATGGGGGCAGGTGTGGGGAAGAAGCATGAAGGGAGGAGGATGAACTCAGCCCCCTTCCTGCCCCTCAGCCTAACAGGGCCAGGGGCCAGGGCATACACGAGGTCAAGCTCAGCTTGTGCCCACCTGGAATGAACAAGGAGGGCAGAATCCTCAGGAAACTGCGAAATTATCCAGGAGGACTGGGCGAAAAAATACCCCACTTCAAACACCAGCACTTTCCTGACCCTGAAAAATGTGGAGAGAAACAGTCCTGATCAGGCTATTGAGGCTGGGCAGCTCTGTGAGGCTTAAAGGTTTAGAGAAATCACTTCCAGATCAGCCTCCCTGGCAGCCTGTTAGAAATGCAAATCCTGACCCCACCCAGACCTCCTGCTGTAGACACTGGGAGTGGGGCTCCTCAGGCAATGTGTTTGAACAAGCCCTCCAGGTAATTCTGATAAGGCTCAAAGTTTGAGACCTACTGGCTCTGCTAGACTAGTTTGGTTTACCAATCACCATCCCCTGCTCCCAGCCAGACAGGAGACCGGAATCAGGGCTAAGGTAGGGAGGATGTGGAGGGGGCAGGGGTTCGCCCTGGAAGGCTACCATTCTTTCCAATTCTTTCTACAGTCCAACCTTAAAGGAATTAGAAATTCTGACTCTCTCTCTTGAATCTAGATGTCCCTCCCATATTGCCAAAGGTTGCCAGACACAGTTAAACGGCACAAGTCCACTCCACTGCCCAAACCAAAGGGTCCGGTGTCCACACTGAAGGGCAGGAATGACACGTGTGCTCTGCCCTGTGCATAAGTACCTCTTACAGGAATGCAGGTGACTGTGTTATATTCGGGTGTGATTATCGCCAACAAGGTAAGCCTGCCAGGTGAGGAAATGTGATGGCCCCTGAAAGGCCTGGTCACCCCTGGTATCAGCCACCTGGGAGAAGTGCAGGTCACTGAGGGGGTGAGCTTTAGGAAGGCAGAAGGGACTGACTTGTCATCACTCTGAGTTTCTTTTTCTTTTTTTCTTTTTTTTTTTTTTTGCAGTACGCGGGCCTCTCCCTATTGGGGCCTCTCCCGCTGCAGAGGGCCGGCCTCGGACG